AATAAATTACCTTAGAATGTTAGTATTATGATTTAAAGTGTTTTTTGGTCCTTATCAGTGCTGCATTTCTTTCCCTATGATCATCCATCTTTTTACAGATTTTTTTCTTTGAAGACCACTTAGTTTCTGCCTATATCACTGTAGCTATATCATTCTGAATTTAAATGGTTAAATGGGTTCTCAAATAATTACTTAGAGCCTTTGTTTTTTCCATCATACTCACAGCCACAGCAGTGACAAGCTATTCTTGCTTGCTTTCTTATAACTGAAGTACATGGCTGTTTATAGCATAGTATCTTTTTATATTATTTACAGTTAAAAAAACAGTATGTTAAGAAAGGCTTTTCATTTTTTACCTCTATCATGTAAAGCCATAAAGAGCATGAAAACTTTGGGTTTGAGCTCTGTTACCTATCAAAAGAGAAGGATCAATGAACCCAAAATTGACCACAGACTTAGAAGCCAAATAATTGCACAAGAAAATATTATGTTATGGTAGGCTTCTGTGTGTGTATTTATATGTGTGGGTGGGGGGAAGAAATCTTTCCAATGCAAAGTTTCACTATATCTAGGATGTGGACCGAGGTACATAAAAATCATGATTAAAAACAGAAAACATTGATCTTTGGAAGCTTTCCAGGGAAGAGGTCAAATGGACTTTTCATAATCTGATGGGAGTCAATATTGTGCAGATGAAATCTGTACTCTTCTGGGTAGCTTTGTTTCCTCTTCCTACACGTTGTGTGTAATAATTAGTGATTATCTAATGGATGGACCTTGACCTCAGAGAGACAACAATTGTTGTGTCAGTTATCAAGAAAGCAGCAGAACTGTTTGCTTGCTTGCTTATGTTTTGTTTTTAATGGGGCTGTTCGATGTAACAATAGGAACAGATGCAAATGCCATGGGTTACCTGAAAAAAAGTTCTTCATAGAATAAATGGATGAAAGCAGAAAAGAAAGATGTGGTTACATTTGCTTGTCTGACATGATCACGGCATCAAGAAAGATGTGGAAAAGGCATTGGAGGGGGGATAGTCTTGAAAAGCAGATTTAGAATGGCACAAAGAGGGTGGGTCAGGGCAGAAGATCAGTCTTTGCCTTAGTTTTCTGTAAAATGGGGATAATAATACTTTCTCCCACTTTTTGTCTGCTTTATCTATTTAAATCATACACTCTTCAGGGCAGAAACCATCTCCTTATATATATAGATATATAGAGATAGAGATAGAGATAGAGATAGAGATAGAGATAGATAGATATAT